CCTCTCTCCTCCCTCTCCCAATCTTGCTCGCCTCTCTCCTCTCTTTCTCAATCTCGCTTGCCATATATACAAATACATATGTATACTATACAATTATCTAACCGATATACATATACAATTTACCTCTCTCCCACTCTTTGCCCTCTCTCGCTCGCCTCTCTCCTTCCTCTCCCAATCTCGATCGCCTCTCTTCTCCCTCTCCCAATCTCACTCGCCTCTCTCCTCCCTCCCCCAATCTCGCTTGCCATATATACAAATACATATGTATAATATACAATTATCTAACCGATATACATATACAATTCACCTCTCTCCCACTATTTCCCTCTCGCTCGCCTCTCTCCTCTCTCTCCCAGTCTCGCTCGCCTCTCTCCTCCCTATGACATGTCGCTACGAATTGTAATTATCAAACTATAGCTATGGAGAGTAATTAGGCTATTTTTGAGTGGCTATATGTGAAAGTTCCTCTTAAAAGAAAACATGGGCCTCTGCCTAAATGAAACCAGATCGGCCCATTAAGGTGTATTTGGTGTGGAGAAAAGATGGGCCTGTTTGGGCCCAGAGGTGATATAATTTGGGTCTGCTAATTGTTGGGCCTTGTCCTAGTGTTAGCTATTGGTCCATCATTGGCCCAAATATGTTTTCCTTTCCTAATACATAGGTTGGAGATTTTTGAAAGATATTTTTGTTCACGAGGTTGTATAGGGAAATCTTAATATCTTCTCATTAATTATGGTGTTGTGACCACAAAAAAGTTATGGAAAAATCAATATACTACTACATTTATCAAATATTGCACATGATATGATTGTGTTATTTCATCCCCCTTAATTATAATTGCGACATTTTATCCCCTTACAATATTATCATCGAGTAAAAATATAATCGCGATATCTTATTCCATTAATTATATTGCCGTTGTCTGAGAAAAACGATATAATTGTGCATTTTATCCCCTATATTGCCTTGGTTGAGTATGAAAAATCAGAATGGTATTACAAGGGGATAAGTAAATAAAATGTCACAATACTATAGTCAATACATTAGTGATTACAAATTTAAATACGTACTCTCTCTGTCTCTAATTACTTGTCCACTTTTGAATTGACACACCTATTAAGAAAACAATTATTAACATAGTGAGTTTACCATTTTACCCCTATTAATTATGAAGTGGATGAATTAAAAATTTAATATTTTCAAAAGGTTCTACCTTTTTCAAAGTAATTAATTAAGGGTATAACAAAAAAAAAATTATTTTTTCTTGATTTGTCAAAATTGACAAGTAATTAGGGACAACTATAAAAGAAAAAATGAACAAATAAATAGGAACAGAGGGAGTATGTATTTAAATAAGAATCTATAAAGTACTAAGCGTAGAGTTCGATGAGGATTCAAAAAATAATGAGAGAGTGAGTGGGTTGGGGGGAAAGGGAATTAAATAGCCGTAAAAGGAAACGATCAATAAATGAAATGTAAAATGCAGATCAACTAACCTTTTACTTTGTGGGACTTGAGTACTTGCAATTGCAGGCGGTGCTCGTACATTTGCCCAACACCTATATTTGACTTGATTAGTTTACGTCTAAGTCCATCACACGTATTATCTGTTTTGATCTAATAGACATTTTGTAATATAAGATATATGTTCTATCTTAT